TGACAGCGAGCCGGCGTCCTCGTGTCTGGTGGTCTGACGCATGGCGCGGCGACCCCCATTGGCGGAATCTGCCCTGACGACCAGCGGCGCTTCTGATTGGACATTTTGGTTGGACCCGGTGTAAATAAAAGAAGCCCTGCGGCGCGTCGCGAGCGGCAGTCCTGAGAGAGGAGTCCCCATGTCGGAGAGCCGACATGTGTATGAGTCAGCGGTCTTAGGCGAAAGGCTGACCTATGTGTTAGAGAGGAGAGCTCGGCTCTTCGAGTCTCTGTCGGCCCCAGTGCCGAAATTGTAACGCCTCTGTATATATGCTGTACATAAACCTTGTTTAACTCGCCGTCGTCTCGTCCGCTCGTCTTATCAGCTCTGCGCAGAAGCAGTCGCGAGCTGAGAAACATACGCTACCAAACGGCTGGTGACCTTCCCGGCGAAGTTGAAAGCAGTGGCGCCTTCGAGACCGTGTTGGCATCGCCGTCTTTCGCAACAGAGGTGGCTTCGGTGGGATCGGTCCGTCGTGCGCAACAGCGTCAAGCAAGCGAGGAAGGGGGTGCCATGCTGAGCCGGTTCCGTTTCTCGGGAAGACGTGTTACCAAAAAAAGAAGGGGGTGGGGGATGTCACGCTGAGTGCGACCTTACAGTGTTGGTTGTGTTAATTCAGCTCGGGCGTGACTCATAGCTGTTATGAAATAATGTTTTATATATGAAGATTGGCTAGTACTATGGCAATCGGTGTATAAACACTGACTTGATGGATCTGTACTTCACAAGTGTGCAATTACTGAAATTGTTGGTTTGCATAATTTTTTGTTTTGGTCTCGATTTCAAGGCTTAGTTGCAAGCTTTGAAAAACGATTCGGGCAACACTGCTGGCATCACCAGGAACATCCTGACTTTTTCATCTCCAATGTGTACCTCCTTTGTATTGTTCTAGCAGAGTTGTTTAAAAGTTATTGCTTGCCAAGGTAGCTGTTCAGTGACTTATGAAAAAGCTTGTACAAGCGCTAAATGACTCTAGAAGCTGGTAGAGAAAGATTAATTAAATTTCTTATTGCCTCTTCTGCTGATGTTTTTGTTTAAATTGGATTTCTTGTAGCTAAATCACGTTTGAATGTTGAAAATTTTGAATTATTTTAGTATATCAAATATATATTTGGAAGACTGTTTTCGTGCTTTGATAGTTGACTCTTTCAAAACAGCTCAATTTTCATTTGAGATGATAGCTTGATTTCTAACCCATTACAATGGTGATCACGTACTTGAATTATTGGTGCTTGCCTCTCTGCCACCAATGTTGGTTGCTAAATTGCATCTCTTTATTCAATGTGCGTGTTTGCAGTAAAAACTCCTTGTTGCAACCACAGAAACATAAACTTTCGCCGCTTGAGAGGTCAACAAGGAGATGAGAGTAGTTTCTGAGACTTGTGGTTTCAATGATGTAGTTGAGTTGACTTGATCGCTATGCAACAACTCTTCTAATGCTGCTGGAAAACATTGCAGCTTTAAACTCTGGTTCAGCATGGTTGAATTCGCAGAGAGGCCACTTTACTGCTAATGCTGTGGGTAACATTACAAACTGGATGTTCAAGGTAGTTTTGAAAAGTGAGGTTCATGGGGTTGTTTGCAGTTAACTGTGGCACATGCTCTTGGGTACAATGGGAGTTTCGCCATCAAGCGTACCACCATCCTGTGTAAATGTCTGCACAAATGTAAATGTCTGCACATCCTGTGTAAATGTCTGTAAATGTCTGCAGGTGTCATTTCACCTACAAGCATGTTCACTTTTTTAAGGCAACAAAAATTTACAGTAGCATATGTTCCTACATGTATATTATTCAGATTGCATTTGTATTTGTTTATTTCTTTTTCTGTGCTTGTTTTTTTTTTTGTTATCTAATTTGTGCATGCTTCAAGCACTGCTGATTTGCTTTGAAAGAATACTGTTGCAGTATGCATTTGCTACTACTCTTCTCTATGTTTATTTCTAAATAATCTCTCGTCTTTTGGAGGGGCTGTCTCTTCCATAAGCGCGTGTGTCATTTCACGACAAGTCTTTGATTTTCATCATAATGTGTTGAAGCATTTCAGACCGTCGTCATGCTTTGTGTAGAACAATGTTTGGCTATAACTTTATGTTAGTAACTACATCTTTCAGATTGAATTTGTCATTTGTGTTCAGTGTGTACAATAACGTACATTTATTTTATGTGGACACTGTTACACACCTTAAGGGAGCACGTTGAAGCATGCTGGAAATTTTCCTGTGTGCATGAAACAGCCTATGCAGGATTCATAATGAATTTGTATTTGTGTAATTTCCGTCTTTGTTTTCGTTGTACTGATTTGTCTATATTTAATGCATCTATAATTTTCTTCGAAAGAAAAAGAAATGCTCGATTGTACGTTTGCTTCAGCACTTGTATATGTTCATGGCTGAAAAGGTGTTCTGTGATGTTGCCATAGTTATTCTACTTGAATAACTCCGGAGCACTTGAAGTTGTGATACTTGGTGCAGTCTTCAGAGGGATAGGTTTTCAATATTTTCATGATTTGAGGTTGAGGGGTGGAAGTTGAACAAGCTGTGTGTGAAGAGAGGTGAAGGAAAAAAATTTAATCTCATTGTTGTGGTTATAGTTTGGGAGTTCATCTCAACCTCCTCGGCTACAAACCTTACCGTACGTGCTGTCTTGTAATTTTTCATTATTTTTAATGAAACATTCAGACAGCTGGGTTGTAAACAGAAGCAAATGCAGAATCAATTGTCAGTAATAACATCCTTGTAATTTAATAAAACCAATGTGTGAAACTAAAAGATAGGCTAGCTGATAAAAAAAGAAAAAGGCCTTGCTTACGGCAAAATGAGAGCTCAAGGAAAAGGGAAAAATTCATAAAAAATTTTTTTTCAGTAGTCTTATAGTTGTCTATGACTGCGAGCAAGCATTCCGACATTGCTTTTTTGGGCAAAATGGGTTTTTAGCCCCGCCGCGGTGGTCTAGTGGCTAAGGTACTCGGCTGCTGACCCGCAGGTCGCGGGATCAAATCCCGGCTGCGGCGGCTGCATTTCCGATGGAGGCGGAAATGTTGTAGGCCCGTGTGCTCAGATTTGGGTGCACGTTAAAGAACCCCAGGTAGTCGAAATTTCCGGAGCCCTCCACTACAACGTCTCTCATAATCATATAGTGGTTTTGGGACGTTAAACCCCACAAATCAATCAATCAATCAAAATGGGTTTTTAAAGTCTCGCTATGGAATTACCAAGGCAGAACAGGTATTGGGAAACTTTTGTGTAAATGTAACGCGTCTGTCATGTTGCCAGTTCATTGGAGGGCATAAGTGATAAAATACATCTTGCATTTCTGCAACAAGTGCTTGTGTACATTTTCTGTTTGTTCTCTATTGGTTGGTTTTATTCCTTGACATGCTATGAATGCTTGGAAACAGTTTTTTTGCATTTGTTGAGGATCGACATTTAAGTGCATTGGCTATGTTAATGCTTAACTGCAGAGCACAAGTTCGGTACGTTACAAACAAGGGCCCACAGAGCACAGGAGAAGGGCTGCGTGCACTCGTGGATTTTCTATAGTGATTTGCGACTGAAAATGCAATGAACTGACGAATAAGATCGCGTTGCAAGACCTTCCAATTTGTAGCGCTAGCAGCACTGACTCAAGGTAACCTCCAGACTACGTCACGGCTAATAACTGGCCACAGAAAGAAGTGACACAAGGATCAGCTGACATTTCACTGGCTAGGCGCGCACATGAAGTTGTGTCATTGCTACCAGCGTCCCTGTCATTGCCATCAAGAGTGTGGACAAGCTATGAAGATGACGTCGAATCGGGAATCGCTGTGATTTGCGACATTGCTAAGCATTCTAGCATCGACCCTTTAGAGGCAGCGATTCCGAAAGGGACGCCATTAAAATCGTGATGAGAAAGTGCCTGGGGATGCACGCTTGGGCCATATTTGCTGATGTGCTGCATTTAGCTTTATTAGACAGTTTTAGTGTGTAAGGCATTCCTGTACATGCAAAGGGGCCTGGAAAATATCGATTTACCTGATGATATCCACATCTTGCAACACTTTGAATAGCTACAACGATATATACGTATGTTTCTTTGTTTTTAGTGAGTATTGTTGACAAAAAGTCTTTGACCAGGCCATCCATTCAGAATTACTCACCAGCAGAAAAAGTGGATTATGCTAGGTTTTTTACGGTAAAATTTCTGTTCCTTTGCAAGATTCTTTCTTGAGCCATTATATGACCCCATTGATCCTGTTTCTCACATTAGTGGCTATGGTAATTAGGCAATATACTAATGCACAACAGTGGATGTACGAACTATGATTTTCTATTAACACTCTTTATATGTTACTTGTTGGCAGTAATATTTCTATATACCATACTTTCCTCTACCAGTTCTATTTCTATGGCATCTGACTTTGCTAGTGGTGTACCATGCGTAAAATGAAGCAACACACTTTTCCAGTTTTTTTCTGCACTTCAAAGAACATTTCTGCAGCGCACGACTGTTCCACGACATGTTGATTAGCAAGCACACGACATATATATTTGAAGCGGTGCGACGAAGACTAGGCACGAGGAACGATAAGACGTTTTGAAATGTTGGCACCAGTTGGCGCCACAATAAGAACACTCGGATCATCGACGTCATTGTGACTGGCACATCATGACTTGAGGTGGTACGGGCCACACCAAAGCACGTCGTAGTAATATCCATGCCACAGGGTGCTGAATGCACCGTTTAGTTTCCAAGAGCTGTTTGCACATAAAATAAAATAACGTTCAGGTGACAGACACCATTCAAACTTAGCCAAAAATATTTATGAAGGGCACATCTCAAACTTAAAATTTGTCAGTAACCTGTTAAGGCCATGTTAATTACACTGACGAGTGAGCATTGCATGGGGTTGACAAACACAAACTTTGCAATTGCTTCCAGGATCGTTTCTTAAAGACCATGTACAGTTTCTCATCACAGGAATGTTGCTCATGACCAACAGCCACAACATTGCTTTTAAGTGGCAATGGGATTCACCGAAGTGCAGGCGACCGAGGCAGCGCCGACCAACACCGTTGGGCCATGCGCACGTCGGCTGGCACCACGTCCTCCCAGCCAGATGGAGTCTCATCCTCCTAGCCTGACGCCAAACAAGAGAATGTGAAGCGGTACTACTGCGACCTGTGTTCCTTTTCCGCGATTTACCCCAACAGACTGCAGCAAGACCTCCTGCACTCACTGCATGGATGTAGTCAAGCTGTCGTGCCTCGTGTGCCTGCAGGCGTATCCAGATATAGAAAGCCTGACAATCACAGCTCGATGCATGCCAGAGAGAAGAGGCACAAGTGCACCCTGTGTCCGTACACGTTTGTCTTGGCCAAGAATTTTCACCATCACACACACACACACGGGTGTGAACATTTGCCTGCAGCTTGTGTCCAAACATGTTCCCAGGGTAGACACCTTGAAGAGGCACATAAACATAGTGCACCTTGGTAAATATGCTAGGAAAAAAAAAAAAAGATAATCGGGTGTAACTCGTAGACTCTTCTACACTCACTCTTCTTGCTGTGAATCTAAAGAGCAGGGCGTTCAGAAGCTGCTCTTCGAAGGCAGTGACACCAGTCTCACTTGACCTGTTCTGTTATCACTGCCATGTTTGGTGTTTAATGGCGTTCCGAGTCGTACAGTGTGGCTCCAAAGTCTGGCTGAGAAATCGATACTATAAAATGTGCAAATGTTGTGGGTATACGATACTGGTGTCTAGTGATCACTAATTCTTCCAGACTCATACTCATTACCAAAAATAGGCAAGCAATTACAATTACTCCATTTTAAATGTTGTTGATTACAGTGGTCACTTACAGCTCCACAAAAGTAACTGAGCTATTACAAAAATGTAGTCAATAAATCTTGCATCACTTTCCTTCAAAATTTTATTGCCAGAGCACAATACAAGCTTATTGTGCCCTCTGTGATGCAGTGTTACACATTGCGAACTTTCTACAAAATTTGTTTCTAATTGTCGCTGCTGATGTTTTTAGAGACCGGCTGCTAACGTGAACATTCTCTCGATGCATGCGCTGGAGGGAAGGGTAGTGTGATAATGCGGACACACCTTGCAGACCAGCTCGTAGTTGGACATTGCTTCCGTGATAGTCGCTGTGTCCTCTATAAAGCGTCGGGCTCCGCTGTTGGTGGCACTTGTGTAAGGAGCTACAGGTAATGCCAAGGAAAAGGTGAAATATATGCTTTGTAAAAAACCCCGTTGGCATGGATGTGGGGGTGTCTACACAATGATTGCATTGAGACAAGGTGTTTTACTGATGGCAATTGAGTCGATGAAGCGGTTACTTATTTAACACAAGGTGAACTCGATCGCAGGTTGGTGATCAGAGTGCATCGTCCTTTTTTCATCGCTCAAGCTCACTGTACACTGCCCTTGTTACAGCATACTTTTCGGAAGGAGGAATGCCGTTAAAGACTAGTTGAAAATTGGTTTTTGCAAAAAAAAAGTATTCAGTTGAAAGCAATTAGTTACAAGATAATTTAACTTGATTATGCTCAACATACAGTTTTGATAAAGTATTAAAAGTTATTAAAAAGTTACTAAAAATGTAATTGATTACAGGTAACCAATTGCCTGTAATGCATTGTGTACAATGGTGGATTCTTCTAACATCGTCTGTGTATTTCATTATGTTGTTAACCAGTTCCTTTGCTTGCAACTGCCTCCTAATGAGGCAAGTACCTTAAATGCCTCATGAAACACGAAAATTGTCTTTCGGTGTCGATACAGGTCATGCTGGAAACAATCATCACATCATTGCATCATGATGTTGCAGATCACGAAAATTGGTCGGCACGATGACGCTCTGATGACGTCACATTTTGACATCATCACGCATTGTCTCTTGGCCAAGGTGCGAGTCAGCGCTAAACCACATTAATTGCAGAAATGTTTCGAAAGGGAAGGCAGATACAAAGGCTCAGTAACATCGACTGACATTAAAAAAGAATTTTTCGAGTGGTCTTTGTCGATTGTGCAAGTGATTCTGTGAGTTTTGACATTTCAGTGTGAATGGTGTTGAGCTCATCATTTTGATCGTTTTCCCGATGGAATAGCGAAAGTTTCTGCGAGCCTGTTTTCCAAGTGATGCAATGTGGTCTCGTTGGTTACACACCTTACGTATGTTTTCTTTTTTTTTGTAGCTCAGTTGAAAAAAAATTGAAAAATTAAGACATTCCAGCGTGTCTTTTTTCATCCTATGCTTTACTAGCACTACAGAATATCTGTTTTTCGCACCCTATTTTGCTAAAACTGAAAGTGCTGTAGCGTGTGGTTTCTTCGCCGGTGCTCTTCGTGAACATATTTTATTCGCACAGCAGGCGACACGACACGTCACTGTAGCGTTCACTTCTTTTGTTTATTGTTGAATTGTGATTGCTTGTGTTCTTGCATCACCGTGTCTTGCAAAAAGAAAGATTTCCTGATGGGCAATAAATGACTTGGCATTATTCAACACCTTTGTAGTGATGTAAGGCATTCCAGTGCAATGTACAGTGCGGCAAATTGTCCCTCCATGGAAGGAAAATGTGTGCTGCTCATTACAAAGCGAAGCTTGCTTGCTTATGTAGCACATGCATCGCGCTAAAGTCAATAACTATGATGGCATTCTTGAAAATCATTTCATACTGTTTTGAGGCATGATGAATGAATGAAAAATAGGGACTAGCGAAGAATGCACACTGTCATTTTGGGTGTTGCATGCACTGTGCTTGTTGACTTGCATGTGCGTGGTTTGAAGCTCGCATGAACACACTTCGGGTGTGTTGGGTTGAAACGTTCCAAGAGTGGCACACTTGGAAGTGCCATAGAAGGTGCTGGTTGTGTTCATTCAGCTCTGGCATGAGTTGTAGCTATTTGCACATAACCCTTTCTATAGAAATAGGCTGTATTTGAAAAGTGGCAGCATTTAGAACTATGGCAATCGGTGTATAAATACTGACATTGTAGAGAATGCATTAAAAAAAATGTGAAATCACTGTAAAATTGTTTCTTTGTATAATTCTTTGCATTGGTCTCGATTTCAGAGCTTATATGCAAGTTCCGCAACATGATACGGGCAACACTACTTGCATCCCACGAACATCTTGGCTGTTTCATCTCTGATGCGTCTTTCTTTTCGTGCGGTTCTAGCAGGGTTGCTTTTATGTTATTTCTTACCAAGGTAGCTGGTCAGTGACTTTTGAGAAAGGTTTTACAGGCTCAATGTGACTGTAAAAGTTAGTACAGAAAGATGGATGGCAATATTTATTACTGCTGCTGGTGTTTGTGTTTGCATCAGCTTTTCATGGCTTTGTCATGTTTGATTGTGAAAAATTTTGTAAATAATTCAGTAATTTAAGAGAACTCTCTTATTGCTTTAATGGCTGACCCTCTGACGACAGCTTAGCTTCCATGTGAGGTGATAGCATGTTATCTAACTCATTTCGGTAATGATTGCATGCTTCCATTAATCAAAATGGGTAATTTCCCCAAGAAGCAGGTTTACTTTTTAGTCAAACAATTAATGCACAGTTGTACGTATTTCTACATATACTTTCATAAGCTGTGGCGGCTGCATTTCCTATGGAGGCAGAAATATTGTAGGCCCGTGTACTCAGATTTTGGTATTTCCGGAGCCCTCCACTATGGCGTCTCTCATAATCATATAGCGGTTTTGGGACGTTAAACCACACATATCAATCAAACTCAGATTTGGGTGCACGTTAAAGAACCCCAGGTGGTCGAAATTTTCGGAGCCCTCCGCTACGGCGTCTCTCATAATCATATGGTGGTTTTGGGACATTGAACCCCACAAATCAATCAATCAATCAATTACTTTATTCATAACACATTTGTATTCATGCATTTCCTTTCACGTGTTTATTTTTCTTCATACTGACTTGTGCATGTTTAGCGCACCACTGACTTGCCCCAAAGGAGAAATGCTGTATTATGCCTTTCCTACAGCATTTGCGCAGGTTCATTTTTCAGAAGTGCCCTGTCTTTTGTGAGGTCACTTCTCCAAGCTTACTGGTCATTTCTGGATAAAATTTTTATGATTTTGGCCAGGATGTGTTGAAGCATTTCAGACAATTATTGTGCTTTTTATACTAGAACCATGTTTTGCTATAACTTTATGTTAGTAACTTCTAGATTTTTCAGCTTGAATTCGTAATTTGTGCTTAGTGTGTGCAATAACGTGCATTTCTACACATAGAGGCGGTTGAACACCTTAAGGTAACACTCTGAGCACATTGAAGCGTGCTTGTGGTTTTCTCATACGTATGAAACAACCTACACATGATTCATTATGAATTCGTATCGGTGCAATTCCTTTCATGTCTCTCTTTTGTTGTACTGATTTGTGTGTATTTAGTGCACCACTGATTTGCTTCGAAAAAAACAGCAATGCTGGATTGTTCATTTTCTATGGCACTTGTGTGTGTTCATTGAAAGAAATAGTTCTGTTGTGTTGCTGTAGCATTGAACCTGAGGCTGCTTAGAGCGTTTCAAGCTGTGATACTTGGTGCAGTCTTTGGCAGAGGAATAGGTTTCTAATATTTCTATGATTTTGGGCTGAGGGGCGAAAGTTAAACTAGCCATGCTTGTAAGGGAGGCACAAAAACTGCATAACGTCATTGTGATCACAATTTCAGAGCTCATGTCTCATCCTCTTGTGTCGCATATCGTCGCACAGCTGCTACCCCATAAATAACTTGTTTGTTCTTTGACATTGTTTGGACAGCTCAGGTGTTAATAAATGATGCCAATGCCGAACCGGCTGTCATTAATAACATCCGGGGCAACTTATTTGAGGCAGTGTGCTAAACTAAAGATAGGCTAGCTGATCAAAAAAAAAAGGCCTTACTTACAGCAAAGTAAAAGCCACAAGGAAAGTAAAAAGCCAAAAAAAAAAAGAAACTTTTCAGTCACTTATTAGCATTCTTTGGCTGCCTGAAAGCGTTCCGATAGTTCCTTATAGGGAAACAGCACCAGAGTTTCCATGATGCGTATGGCACTGCCCTGGCGGTCAAAAAGCACGCTTTTCAGCCGCTCCCACAGACGAGTGTGGCGGCTTGTAAATGCAGTACGGGCGCGCATCCCCGAAACGTAACCAAAAAGAACTCGTGGTACTGCTGGCATTCAAGTGCCACAATAGGTAGAAATTAGGGAGGACACATACCTGTACGTTTTCCATGCTTAATCATACCAACAAGAAAGAAGACGGGGTCGCATCCAGGCAGTTGTGCAAGGAAAGCATGTTCTTCTCTTGCTCTTCTGTCTAGTGCTGTTAGGATAGTTTCGAAACCAAATTGCACATGTCTGCTACATTTATTCGATAGTGAAGATGGCCACCAGTAGAAACCAGAATGAAACAGCCAAATCTATACGGCGTATCACTGGAAACAAAACGAGCGTATAGTGCAGCATACAGCATATATAAACTTATTTATCTGACCCCCACAACCACCAAAATACCATCCGACGCCCCCACGTAAAGTGAATGATACGATAAGTACATGGTCTACATTATTTGCGAACAGTTAGGTAGAAAAAAAGCTGCCTCGGCCACAAGATTTGTGTGGTGGCACGTTCATTTAAGCAGTTGAACTGTTTTTCATGATACCCTTGCGATGAATACTGGATGCTGAGATGCCTCTGATTAGTTTAATTTGAGCTAAAAGCAGGATTATTGTTAGGAATAAAGCAGCGGACTACTCGAAGCTTAGCTTTCTGGAGTCGGTTGATGCAGTAAGCTTCTTTCTCACTGGCTGCCGCGGTGAAGTGACACTGGAATTTATGCCTTGTAAGATAAATATCAAATGTCTGCAATTTTTGCTCGTTGTTTAGTTTACCTAATTCACAGTTTGTTTTTCCGCTTGCCTGTGTCTGCCTGAAATAAGTGTCTGTTCAACAATTGCTAAACTTTTACGTGCCAAACAAGGAACGATTTTGAAGCACGCTGTAGTTTTGGTATCAGGACTAATTGTGACCGTTTGGATTCTTTAATGTGCACATATTCTTGGTTCACGGGTGGTCTTTGTATTTCGCTCCCATTGAAATGTGGGTGCCACAGTTAGGAATATATCTCGTGCCATAAAGCATAGCAGCGTGGCTTTACACGTGTTATGCTGCCATGGTGCTTTGCTTGGTCAACTTCCATGTGCGTACATACTGCGGACAGGGTGTAAATACGATGCTAGAAAAAAAATTGACTCAGCTACCACTTCCTATTTTGTTTTATTGCAGAAATGGGCAGGGTCGTATCGTCGCAGCCCAGACTTATCCAAAGGGGCATGTCAGCCTGTACTAGTTTAACACAAAACCCAGCACGCAACCAAAAAATGACAACGAGAGAGGCGCCATCACGGCACAGCACTGTTCCTTCAATTTCATATGCATAGACGCATGCAGTCCGCTTTTCAGGGCTCCTCCCTGTTTTCGAGTGCTTTTTTATGTGAGAGTAGCCTTTGAACAAAGTTTTTTTTTCTAAGCCACCATGCAGTATTACTGCCGCAATGGCTTTTCGAGCTGTCTGTTAGAAAATGAAGCATGGCAGGCACACGCGTGTGCTCTCCCGCAGTACACTGCTGTCAGTCGTCTGTGCGCAAGCGACTGAGTTGTGTTGCGGCTTCCCGCCGGGTGCCGTTTTTCGGTGCACCACCTATCTAGCGCTGGTCTTTCATGGGACAAAATGTGTCTTTAAAGCCGCACTGTGAAATTACCAAGGTAGCATAGCAATTGGGAAACTTCCGTGTGAATGTAGTGTGGCTGTCATGTTGCCAGCTCTTGAGAGGGCATAAGTGATGATATATTTTGCATATCTGCTACTAGTGCTTGGGCACATTTTCTGTTTGTCCACTACTTGTTGGTTTTATTCCTTGACATGCTCCGAATGTGCATGCATCTGCATGTTTCCAAGATACAATTTTTTGTATTTGTCCAGGAAATTGACTCGTAAGTGAAATGGCTATGTTAATGCTAAACTTCGGAGCACAAGTTTGGCACGGTTCATGAAGGAGCACACACAGTACAGGACAAGGGCTGTGTGGGCTCCTGTATTTCTCATACTGAATTTGTGCTCTCCATTTAGCATTACAAACCAACTTGCGTAGCAATAAGTTCTTTTAAAGGAACACTGACATCAGATTTAAGCATGTCAATATTTTTGTATCAGCAAGTGGTTGTCGACCTCCTAAGAGTGATTCAAGACTCAAAATGTAATAGAGGAACAAATAACTGTATAATTTATACTGATTAGTTGGACCAGCATAGAGCACGAATAAGATGGCGTTGCAAACCCACCATGTCATCGGCCATACCATGCTGAATGCGCCGGTTGCTAAACCGCCAATTTGTAGCGATAGCAGCGCTCTCTCATGGTAACCTCCAGACTGCATCTCGGCTAATAACTGGCCACAGAAAGAGGTAACACAAAATATAGCTGACAATTCATTGGCAAGGCGCGTACATGAAGTCATGTCATTGTCACCAGCATCGCTGTTGCTGCCGTCAACAGCATCGACAAGTGAAGATGATGATGCGTGTAATTGGCAATCGCCGCGATTTGTGACATCGCAAATCATTTTAGCATACACTTTTCAGAAGGCAGTGATTCTGAAAGGAATGCCATCCAGACCATAACGAGAGAGTGCCTGGGGATGCAGGCTTGGGCTATGTTTGATGATTTGCTGCATTTAGCTTTATTAGACAGTTTTAATGTGTAGGGCATTTCGGTACGCGCAAAGGTGTCTGGGGAATATCAGGTTACTTGACGATATGGACGACTTGTGACACTTTGGATAGCCACAATGATACAACATATGTGTATGTATGTATACATATGTATATGTTTGTTCCTGCGTGTCCTCGAGAAAAAGAATTGATGACTGCTGGGTGAATTGAGAATTTCGCACCAGCAAAGGAGTAGGATATGCTGGGTTTTTACACTAACATTTCTATGTTTGCGAGGTTTTTTTTTAGCCACTAGATGGCTCTACGTA